GCGTTGAAGATGCACTGCACGCTCTCGTTATAACAGGGCACTTTACCTCAGCAGACTGCAACGACGTGCGGCTGCCTGTGTACACTCCCTCTCAGCAGGTACTGGGATTGGCGCACCTGTCATTCACACTGTTAAACTGTGGTTTGAAAAATTCTTGTTTTTCTTGTTTTTAAAAGTTTTGGATCCCTTTAAATAGGCAACTTGAAATGTTTAATTTAAGCTGCTGCTGGTTGTTCTATGTAAATGAGTTTTAATTGTTAATCTATTGCCCCTTCTATGTCAGGCAAGACGTTTGCTTGATCATGTCAGAGCGAAAGGAGAATCAGCGGCGAAGGTTGTACTTCGGTACGTTCAGCAGAAACAGGGATCTGGATCATCGCTAAACCAGGAGAATTGGACTCCTCCCAAAGGTGCGCCATCATTTGAATCATGCTGGAAAGTATCCAACATTTTACCTGGTTCTTCCTTGGACCATACTTCAACCCCAACCACAGAAAACCACATGCAGACCGTATGTGCACATGGGGGTTTCTGTTTGTTGCCAAGCTATTTTAAAATATCTCCTTTTATTTCCTTTCAAACATGGAAATGGTGGTGCTCAAAAATAGAACACAGTTGAAAAAACGCTGATTTCAAAAATACAAAAAAAAAGACTGAGTTTGTAGTATGAGTTGAATAGTATGTGTCGTTTTACACTTTACTGCAGTGTATCTGATATACGGTATACTTTTTGTCCCAGTGGTCCTAAAGTATCAGAAGAAGCTCAGCAGTTCTGTGTCTGCTCAGTCCTGCTTCCTCAGCACTTATGGAGGAACCAGCCACATGGCTCTGGATGACATCTACACCGAGGGCCAGCTGGAACTGGCTCATTACTGCGGTGACGTCCATGGACCTCTGGGCCTGGAGGACGTAGTCGGCGCAGTGGGCACGGTGAACAAGGAGGCCGACACGGTGCTGGTGTCCGGGGATGCGGGCGGGGGGAAGAGCACCTTACTCCAGAGGCTGCACTTGCTTTGGGCTCGCGGGACGCTCCTTCGGGAATTCCTCCTTCTGTTTCCGTTCAGCTGTCGCAGGTTGAACTCAGAGCGGCAGGACCTGTCTGTCAAGGAATTGCTCTTTGACCACTGCTGCTGGCCGGACAGGGAGCAGGAGGAGATTTTCCAGTTCATCCTGGACCATCCGCATCTCATCCTCTTCACCTTCGACGGCCTCGACGAGCTCAAGCATGGCTTTTCAGATGAGCACAGGCTCTGCTGCCCCACTCAGCGAGCGCCAGTTCAAATACTGTTGTTCAACCTGATCCAGGGCTCCCTGATGAAGGGCGTGCGGAAAGTGGTGACTAGTCGCCCGGAGGCAGTGGGCCCTGTGTTGAAAAAACATCTTCGCAAAGAGGTCCTCCTGCAGGGCTTCACCCCGAGTGGGATTGAGTGCTTCGTGCGGAAACATCACAGTGACCCCGCTGTGGCCTCTAAGGTTTTGGCGTCCCTGCGGACAAAAAACGCTCTCCTTGGACTGTGCCACAGCCCAGTCCTCTGCTGGATTGTCTCACATTGCCACAAGGAGCTGCTGGGTTGTGGCGAAGGCAGCCCACGGACAATCACAGATGTTTACCTCATGATCTTGCAGCACTTTTTCCAGCACCGAAGCTCCCCTAAGAGCACCACGGGGACGAGTTGGCTTCAGGAGCACCTAGACACAGTCTTGCACCTTGGGCAGCTTGCCTTTGAGGGAATAGGAACAAGCTGTTTCATCTTCTCACCCGCAGACCTTGAGACATGTGGCGTAACTGAGAAGGACATCTGCATGGGCTTCCTCGTACAAAGCAAAGATATGTCCCCCACCCGCAGTAAATGCTTTGAATTTCTTCACTTGATGATGCAGTGCTTCTTTGCTGCTCTGTACATTGTTTCGTCAAATAACGCTGACCGTTCAATTATCTCGAACCTCTTTGAGCCGCAGAACATGAGAGCGACGGGTCTCGGGAGCAGCTCGTGCTTCGGCGCCTGCTCGTCTTCCGCTGGGAAACAAGGGCAGGCGTTGAACGGGGAAGCTGCATCAGAGGAAAGACCAAATCTGAAAATCACAGCCACCTTTGTGTCTGGACTGCTGTCCCAGCGCCATCGGAGCCTGTGGCTCCACTGCTGCCCCAGTGCAGTGACCGAGAAGCGGGTCAGACAGGTGGTGAGATGCCTGTCCAAAGGCATGCACAAACACTTTAAGTCCATCCCGCCACCCGTAGACGGGGAGAAAAAGAGCATGCACGCGATGCCCGGCTTCGTCTGGCTCATCAAATGCATCTACGAGATGCAGGACAGCAGGGTCGCTAAGGATGCCGTGAGTAAGCTGGAGGTGGACCACCTGAAACTGACCTACTGTAACATCGGCCCTGTAGAGTGCACGGCTCTAGCCTACGTGCTCCAGCATTTGAGGAATCCCGTCGGCCTGCAGCTTGACAACAACTCCGTAGGCGATGTCGGAGTGGAGCAGCTTCTTCCCTGCATGCACAATTGCCATTCCCTGTAGTGAGTACAAAAAACCCAAAACAGAATCATTCCTTCTATCTCAAAAAGAAACGTTATGCTCATGTTTGCTACGTTCTTACATTTCCAGCCTCAGGAATAATAGCATTACCGATGAGGGAATTCGCAAACTACTTGCTACAGGTATCCATTGTGACAGCTTCCGGAAAATTGCGTAAGTGTTGTCAAAAGGATTAATGATGCTTTCACATGTCCCAAATTACGTTTGTTCCTTTTCCTAATCGATTTGTTTGTCTCTAGGCTTTTCAACAACAAGCTAACTGATGCTTGCACACAGCACTTCTCTCATCTTCTGAAGAGCAGGCAGGATTTCCTTTCCATCAGGTCAGCTCTTTCAGTATTTTCAGGAGCACTCATCAGATGTGACACTAAAATGGAACTATGATGATACTCCCAACATCTGTGCCGCTTGTCATTAATAGCAAATTAACGTAAACTCTATTTCCTCTCAGGCTTGGCAACAATAACATCACAGAAGAAGGAGCCAAGCAGCTGGCAGAGGGACTGAAATCCAACCGTTCACTAAAGTATTTAGGGTAAAAGTCTCCACGCCAATGTTTTCTTGTTGACGAATTTCTGTTCTAAACTAGTTTTGTTGTATTTGCCTTTGTTGCTTTGTTATATGGACTCATGTGTTTGATTTAAGGTTGAACCCCCCGCCTAATAATTTGTTGTATTCCCAGGCTTTGGGGCAACAAGATAGGAGATGCAGGAGCAGTGGCCCTCGCCAGTGCTCTGCAGAGCAGCACATCGCTGGTGTGGCTTAGGTAATATTTGCTTTAAATTTTGAAACCGTTGGTATATTTAAGTTGAAAAGGCATCAGACATGTGAACATATTCAGACATGTCTGAATTCTAATTAGCTGCACAATGACCACATTTGTGTATATATTTCAACAGCTATGGAATAATTTACCTGAATATAATTCTAAATGTATGTTCACAGTCTGGTAGGCAATGGTGTGGGGAATGCAGGAGCAGGTGCCCTCGCCAACGTTATCAGGAACAGCACGTCACTAGAAGAGCTCTGGTAAGGGTTAGCAACACGTTTTTCTGGTCCTGGCAATCAAACCAACTGCTGTGGACAGGAGTGGCTGACTTTTGGGAACTCCCAGGACGACAGTGCTTCACTTGCTCCACTTTCTCCTCACCCGCTTGTGTTCTGTAAAAGGTTGACTGAGAACTGCATAACCAGGTCAGGGGTGGAATGTCTGGTTCAAGCCCTGAAGGAGAATACGCGCATGAAATCAGTATGGTGAGTAAAGTTCTGTTTTCTCTTTAGGGTGTATTCTTGATGGCTGCCTACATCCTGGATTTGGGTTAAATTAAGGGCCTCACTTCTCTTTTTAGAACTAAAAAAACACTGCATCCTATTTTGCTCAACGGGAAACTTTAACTTTTGTTTTCGTTTTAAAACTGGAATTTTCATTCATTAATATTGTCCCTTCCTTCCCTTCCCATTACAGGGTGATAAACAACGACCTCACTTTGGAGGAGGTGGAGGATCTGAGACAACGAGAATCAAGACTGACTTTCTAATTTTGTGTAAAGCTGGCCAAGGACTGCACATAGAAGTTTTTCTATTTATTATATGAAATATTTATATAAGGGTGTGTTTGCTTAAATGTTGGTCTTCTACTGAAAGGAATAAAATGATACCTTTTCAGGGTTTATCCAAGCACAGAAGCCATATCCACCTTTGTCTTGGGTTTATTTTGTGGGTGTAGGTTGTTCATATAAAACCACACCACTTGCACTATTATCAATATAGCTGGACAGGATAATATTGAAGCTTGTTCAAGGATTTTCTTCTTGAAACAAGCAGTTTGTGTCGACTGAAAATAAGTCTCCTGCAGTCAGTAGTAGAAAGCAAGTACAGTGTAAGGGGCACTTTTTTGATTTAATTTCATTCATCATTACATATTAGATGAAAAAAATATATCTTTTTTTTATTGCATATATAGATGTATAGATTTCCTGCTATAGTTAGTAGTTTCATACTAACATTTTTTATCCAAAACCTATGATCATTTAATAAAACATGACACAGATATGACATATAACCTCCCAATAGTATATTAAGCAATTGCTAAATTTAAACACTATTATACACGAATGCACTACTAACCAGAATACAATAATATAATATACGCATATTATATGTATACATCTCTTAAAGAAATACTTTCTGCATATTGAGCCCATTCCATTTTATTTATCAATACATGTGATGATTACATTTCAAATTATTTCTTGATTAATGTTACGTTTCTTATTTTAAGTAAATACTTCCACCACTGCCTGGCCGGGGACAGCATCATCTGCCCGAGAGCTACACTTCAACCTAACTATGTGTTCTGCCATTCATGGGAAAACCCCACAGTGGCGCTTGGTTACAGACATAATGGACAGCCAATCAGCGCTTGGAAACGAAACGACGGACCAATGGATGTGAGGGAGTGCATGATGTCATACATTAAGTTTCGTGAGGTCGTCTTCTGTAAATAATATATCGCATAGCCGTAGAGATACGCTATTATTTCTCGTATTTTCATATGGAGAGCAGACGTAAATGCTGATACTGTCGAGGTTGGCAGTCCCCTGCCAGCCCGCGTGCTATCGCTCAGCCCACTAGGCTAACTTTAGCATAATACTTCCTAGCTGGTTTAGCTAGCCAGCTAATCAGAGGTTATTACGGGAGGAATCTAGCTTGTTTCCAGAGGCCTGTATCTAAATGAGATGGACGTTTGAAATGACAGTCACCTGCATTCTCTAACTGGACCGACGCGTATCAAAAGGTAAGTGTCCGCCTTTCTTAGTTTTTAATGTGAATTACCATTTGGGGCTTTTTGGCTGTGCGGTACGTTAGCTACTTCCCCCTCTTAAAGGGCCTGTGACTGACAGGTGATGACACCCCGATGCTCTGGTTATCAGGGAAAATGCTCACAAAACCGAGTCATCGTTCGAGTGTCAGTGGCGCCGAGACTCGACTAAACACCCGTAACCGTCTTTGTGGTCGTCACGTCGGCCAGCGGGCTCAAATGAAATGTCAAAACGGGTCAACGGCAGGTGTATCTCACTTTCAGTTCTCTACCTGCTTCTTGCTATTCGCAATAACAGTATTAGCGTGATTGTTACCATTCACGGTAATATTGTTATGGCTAACGTGTTGTTACTATGACATTACATGTTTTAGTGAAAACAACGATAGCATCACTGTGTTAGCGATACTGTCACGCATGAAGCAAGTGTGCTTCTAACACATTTCTGAGGTGTCATCAGGGGAAATCCAGTTCGGAGTCTTGCCCTTTGCTGTTTGAATAAGTCAACCATCTGCTCAGTGTTTTTTTAATTTTTTTTTAAGACTATTCAAATCAGTGAGTATGAGCAGAGTCACGCGAGGATTTTTTAAAATAACAGCAGTACCGCACAGGGATGACAGAGATAGTACACATCATTATTTATTTCTTTATACGTGTCTTTTAATTCATGAGCAGGCACCAGCAGGCAACACCATTTATTGTTCTATGTTTTCACGTTCATGTATGACCGTAAAGCAATTCAGATTGTTACCAAATGTTTTTCTATGGAATATTGTATTTTAGTTAATCAATTAAAATTTGTATATTTCAACTCTGTGAATGAAATAAATAAGAAATACATGTATGTAATGTGTATGTATATACATACACCCTATATATTTAATTTATTAGTTAATTCATTAGTTATTCCTTCCTACAGGTCAAGCTTGCCTTGATGTTGGACCTCCCGCCTAGCATGCAGCCATGAGCTCGGCCCTGTGGAGCCAGGAGAAGCCCAGTGGGGGCTTCAGGGAGGACTGGCGCTTCTACATTGTCATAAAGGAGTGTACGGTGGAGAAGCCTCCCCAGAAGACCCTGAGGATCCCCCGGGGCAGTCTTGGCCAGGCCTGCCAGGAGCGCAACAGCCTCGGCAGAACTCTGCCCCCGTGCAAGGGCAAAAAAAGTCTCCGCGTCCTGGACCAGACCAATGTGGTGCTGAGTCTGGACGAGCGGGACGTCCTGGAGCTGGATGAGAAGCTGGCCGAGCTGCTGTTCCCCATCACCAACTGCGAGGAGCGCTACGCCCTCCTCTGCAACGAGTCGCGGCTGGAGCGCGTCCGTGACATTGACTGCGGATCGAAGGTGCGCGTCCAGCTGCGCTCGGGCGATGAACCCGTGCCCGGCGTGGTTCGCTTCAAGGGCTCGCTGCTCCCCGACAGAGCGCTCGCTGGAATCTGGTTTGGAGTAGAGCTGCTGGTGAGAACTTGTTTGTCTTTTGTTTTCATACATGATGTGGGTTTACTCTTTAATTATTGTGCCAGACGTTAAAATAATCAATTAATATCAGTGTTTTTTTCTTCAGTCAGTTTCAACTTGCACTGGAACTGCAGCTTGAAAACAATATATGCAGATGCGAAAACAAAAGCAGAGTTGCAACCAAACACCGCGTAACTGTGCATCCATTATGATTAAGAATATCATCAAAAGGTGCTGTCAAAAGGAAACATGTTATCATTGCTTTTCAAGTTTCTATCCAATACAAAATAAACAGCCGTTGACATCAGCTGACTTTCTTTCTGTAGTACGGCAAATTAAAACACTCCCACTGTCTTCATTGATTTAGAAGACACGGACAATGCATTTCCACCACACATGGCTTTCATTAGTGAGGCAACGCAATGATGATGATGATGCTCATGTTCTGAACGAGATACATGAATTATGTGATTTTGTGAGTCACACCATTCGTACGCTGTAGTGTGAGTCTGCTATTTTAAGGTCAACAGACTTTACTTTCACACACTCAGCTGGAGAAGCAATGCAAAGCGTAGACCAGGTTTATCATCTAAATTGTGCACCCAAATGTAAATATCTGCACTCTTACGTGTGCCTTGTGTACAAAAGGTACTCGTTTCCCAGATTGACAAATTGGACCCTGAAATAAATCAAAGTTTCGACTCGTCGTTGAGCTATTTTGTTGACAGTTTGGAGATGTTTGAACAGAGCACAAGGCAGTGCTTCCGAAGCACGATGAAGTGCTAAATCTTCACTGTTCTGTGACATTCGCTATGACAATGTCTCTTCTCGACACTCTGTGCATCACATTAGTTTTGCCTTGATGGATTAAACGATGTACATTTTGGACCGTCACATTTTTATGGAGTCTTTATTAGTCTCTATTTCTCTCCTTTCTGAAGCTTTAAATATAGACACCGGCTACATATAATAAAACGTTGTTTTAAAGAAATTTGAACCAAAGAAGCAGTAATTTCTACTGACACAAAGGCCGAAGTTTGTGTGAACTATTCCTTTTAATCTCATCACTAAAACGGAATACTTGATGGTCACGCTGTTCATTCTGTACCGTATGTACAGCAGAACTACACAATACAAAGGGTTACTTATTGCAGCACAATGTTGTTGTTATTCATCCAGATGGCGTCTTCTTGTGGTGGGCTGATGGAGCTCAAACTTTCCTACCGTAGCTCAGGCCTCAGTTTGCATAAATGCTTCAGATCCAATTCTGATTTATTGACCCCACCAAACAGAGATGACTCTAATTCATATCTAATTAGCATGCATAAAAGAGTCGCACTATGTCAGAGTCTGCTGTGCGACCGCATCCAGCAGCTGTGCGTGAACTTTTTGAATGCATTTCTCATTGCAGCAGTTCTACTTGTGTTCCTGCTGCAGTGATCGATCTTATTTAATCACAGCTCTGTGATGTTGACTTCCCTTCACTGAAAGATGCTGAGCAGCCTCGCTTCCAGCCTAGATATTTTTAGTAGCCCCTGTTCCGTCTCATCATCCTTCCCTCACTTCGGTCTCCTAGGAGGAGGGCCGGGGCCAGGGCTTCACGGAGGGCTCCTACCAGGGCCGACAACTTTTCCGCTGCGAGGATGAGTGCGGCGTGTTCGTGGCCCTGGACAAGCTCGAACTGTGGGAGGATGATGACGTGGAAGACTTTGGCGAGCTGGAGGTGGACCACATCAATCTGGTGGAAGAGGACCAGGACTTCCCCCCATTGGAGATCAACTCCAGGGTCCTGGTGCAGACCAGGGACGGGCCGGAGAGAGGCACCATCATTTTTTGCGACCTGTTGCCGGGCAACGAGAGCCTGGGCTTCTATGTGGGAGTTGACATGGTAAGCAAAGCTCTCTCTAAATAGTTATTGTGTCTACTAATGTCTGCAAATAATATGCTGGTTAACGAGAAAGAATACTAGGGTAATATGCACAATCTTAAATTATTGCCATTTCTGTGAAATAAATAGAAAGATTTCAAAAAATTCTTTCTCCCCGAAGCCAGCCACCGTCCAGACTAAAGCAGATGTGGTCAAAACTGCTTCCAGAACCTGTAACTTTTAGAATGTAAGCTTTGTGTAAATTAAACTTTTGCTAAACAATAGCAGCCAGTGAGGTTCTGCTTGCAGTCAGGCAGCACATTTAAAAAGACGACAATTTTCTGCAAACTTCCCTTTGACCGTTTATTTTAAATGCCGACATGGTGAGTTTATAAAATCCTTATGTTATCAGTGCAGCAGCTTGGGAATGAATGCCTATAAGGCGTGATTAAATAACAAACTAAAGAAGGGTTACTGGATTACATTGTTTCAGTGCCGGTATTCTCTGCAATCACAACACAAGTTGAATGTACTTTGCATCTCTCTTTCATACAAATGTCTTGATGTAGGCTATGCTCCACCGGTGGTACTGCTTCAGGTCTCACTTCACTTCCCTGACTGACAATTACAGTTTGTTTAATCCAGAACTGTCACACCGAAAAAGGAAAGTTACTCCTGTAATGTGAAACATTCCTATTAAGAGGGTTGTCCTTTGCATGTAAACTATAAATTAAACATTGAAACAGTGTTTGAGACTTTATGCAGTTTCACAAACCATTATATGTAATATTTTCTTTCCAGCCCTAATTTCCTGCTTGCTTAGTGTTGCTGTCAAAATCTTCCAAACCTGGTCAGTGTTACATTTAAGTAGCCGTTTATGATAAAGTGAGATTATGTTACAATCACAACCGGATGCTTCAGAGTGAACTTGTGAACATGAATGAATTAAGTCATGCCCTCGCTGTGTTTTTTGTTTTTGTTTTTCTCTCACGAGCGTTTCTCTGCACGTTCAGGCAACGTGTCTTCTTCCCCGCGATCCCAGCAGCTGGTATCTATGGCTACGGTTGTCAGGCGGGTGAGGTATTGTAGTCAGCGAGAGATCGAAACACATAACTGAGGCATCTGACTGCTGATCGTTCGAAGCAGCAGCAGCAGCAGCAGCAGCAGTGGCCCACTCAGTGCATCTGAGCCACCCACACAAAGGCAAGGCAGTCACGCGGGGAGTGAGGTAAAGCCTTAGTGCTGTATGACCCAACAGCATGGCAAAGGGCCAGCAGGCAGCCGAGGGGAGAGCCCACTGCTCTGCCTCGCTCTGCGTCCAGCCTCGCCCTGCCTTCTCTAGCTAGTGGCACTGGACCTCACGCCTGATCGTAGATCACGCCGCTGGAACAGAGTCCCGGAAGCCAGAGTGCAGAAGGGGAATAGCGCGGTTGAGCTTGTAGACAAAGCAGAGCGTCCAGTTGGCAGGTTGTCGTGTTTTTTTTAGCAGGGAGAAAATGAGATGAGCAGTTTGGATCATAACGATACAGAGGATCAAGATTGAGCATTGTTTTTAGAGCGGTAAGACAGGAGACCTCTTTAATCTCCAAGAAGATAGCAGGGAAAGAAACGTGTGGCAGCCGGTCCGCTTCGCAGAGAGGAAGAACGCCCGGCAGAGTCGCAACTTTCTCATGTCTCCAACTCTTTCAGGACAATCCTATCGGAGACTGGGACGGTTTGTTTGGTGGGAAGTTGCTGTGTAATTTTGCAAGTTTGGAGCACACGCGACTCGTCCCCATCTGCGACGTAATGCCAGGTGAGTCACCTCGTGTTGGTCCCAGGCTTTGGATATGTGTGTGTACGCCAGAACCCTTCCTGAGAACATTGGGCTGTGCCTGTCTTGGCGCGACTCTGAGCTGCCTCCGAGCGATGTGAGTTTGTGTTTTGCTTGCAGCGGGAACAGAGAGCCTTTTGTGTTGACGTCTCACTTGTTTTGGAACGTCAAGTGAGATACTCGGGCTCTTTGTTCCCCACATTGGCATATTGATTTGTTTATGTGTTGCTGCTGCCTCTCTCACTGTTCAGATTTGCGTCCTGGAAGATTTCTCTATTTGGCAAATTTGTCATTTGCCTTTTGAAAGCCTTTCTTTTTGCACCCTCTGGACCGGCTACATGAAGTATATTCTTTCACTTAGATACTTCACTCAAACATTCACTCAACATGATTTGTTCCTTATTTTTCATGATGCCGTTAGCAGACCATGATAATGAGAAAGTAAAAAAAAAAAAAAAATATATATATATATATATGTATGTATATATATATATATATATATATATATATATGTATTTTTTATTTTTATGTATATGTATTTTTTTTACTTTCTCTCTATATACATATATATATCTGGTTAGAGTTTTAGTGAGATTCAACATCTTCCAGAGTCTTCTGTAATATCATACATTAAAAGCTATTTTCTTATAGTTATAGTAAGCGTATATATAGTCTTTACACTTCTAGGTGGTTATTTAAATCACTTGTATCTGTCTAATTGCAGCGACAAATTGAAAAGCATGTAGGTAAAAACATACATAATAAAGTGTATTCGGGCGGCTGTGGGTGTGATTTGGTGCATGGTAGTTTTACCTTTGCTGAGGGGGATGTTGTACTAATGTGGATGTGTTTTTGGGCTGTGCAGAATATTCCATGCAGGACCAAAGGCTGCAAAAGCACAGTTTTGCCCCCAGAGGCACCAACAGTGAAAAGTCGTCTTCTGGCCAAAGCAAACCAAAGAGCAAAGGTACTGCACTGCTGTTGTGACACTAACGTAACCGATGTGCCGACCGCTCGGTGTGGCGATCATTCTTGAAGGAGCGTTCCATCGGTTGGTTGGTTGGTTGGGATTCTTCAAAAGCAAGCAACGTTTTTTTTGTTGCAAATTTTGATTGGGCAGTTCTAATTATCCCTCTGAGGATATTTGTTTGTGGAGGCAGACAAGTCTTTTCTTTGTTTTAGAGATCTCTAAAAATAAAAAGTTTTGATCAAACTTTATATTTTACGGCAAGCAGAGCTAAGAATAACAAGAGAAAAAAAACGCTTCAATTCCTTCAAAGAAATAACAGTAGATGCTTTACTCCCCTTTTCACAAAATATAAGAAACTCCTGTTAAAGCTGCTTTGATTTTGGTTTCTGTTTCTACCGTGATCACTTTTGTCTCTTTTAGTTTTTCCTTTATGCAATAAACTCATTGCAGTTGCTAAATCTTTAGTTAACGGTTATTATTATTATTATTATTATCCATCTTATTCAATGAAATAATCGCATAGGATTCTTTACCTTTTTAATTGTCACTCAATCTGTTTTCCAACACACGCACGCACACACACGCGCGCACACCCTTATGTGTTTCTTTCATGTACTTATTTACAGGATTAGGTCATCATTGTGGAAGTAGAAGCAAGTCTGAATTTTACTATACTTTAAATGGCAGCTCTGTTGATCCCCCCGCCCAGTCCAAATCCAAAAGCACATGGTACATTGACGAAGGTAAAACACGGGGGACTCGAGGGGTGTCAACCATCGCACCGGCAAGCTCCTGTCTACAACAAGCTACACACTGATCTGTTTCACCGAGACACTCCTTAATCTACTTTTTATTCACTAACATTGGCAGAATCAGGGGCTCCATTCCCACTGGGTCTCCACTGTACTAAGATGATTGGATATTCTGGTACTGTGGGATGAAAAAATCAGAAGTGTCCTTCAAAGTAACAAACCACAGATCGTAGAATGTTTCAGCAATTGGTAATCTCATTTATGTGAACTTACTTCTCCAACCTGCTGCCTGATGAAAATGTGCTGCACATAATCCTTGTTTTTGATGTAGTCAGTTTGGGAAATTATTTTCTGTTGTACAACAAAATTAAATATACATTTTTACAGTCACTGAAATATATTTTAGATGACTAAAATACTTGGATCAGTTTAATAGTTCTGGCATTGCACCTCCAAAATCACTAGAAATATATATATTATAACAGGAAAAAATATATATTTATTCGTCTAAAAAAAAAAAAAACAGGTTGGGGAAATGCAGTTCCATACCCAATATATTCCCATCATTCACATATAGGTTATTTACTGGTAGTTAAAGTATCTATTGAAATGAACACCCCAAACATGATTTGAGGGAATACAACAATGAGTAGTTTGTTGCAGTAGCTTGCTATGACAACCTTTCCACTAGTTTTGTCCTTCATTACCATTTCAATGTGATGTTCCACCTGCACCAGTGATTTGTGTCGCCCTAAGGCTTTAAATAATGCCTAATGCTGCAAATAACTCCTTAACTGGCCACTGTGGTGGGCTGCAAAATGCCCTTTTTTAAATAAAAGACGAACATTTCGTTGTCGTGCTATTTGCCAGCCGAAGCATTAGTAAAATACTTTATTTCTAGTGTCAGTGATTGAGCACACTGTTTGGGGACACAAGTTACGATCGCATTGCTCGTGTCATCACCCTCGCGCGTCAGTTGTGAAAAATTTGATGAGTTGTCTGAAGATGAAATCATCAAGATGGTGGAGGGAGATCAATGACGCACGTTATTCTGAATATCAACTAGATAAGCGGTTTCTCGTCAAATTCCAGATGCCATTCTTGTCATGATCAAATCAACAAAAAAGTAGAAGCGAAAACCAGATGCTGACCTCAGCACCCTCTCAAAGGCTCGCACACGCAAGCTCTGCAATTCTGAATTCGCAACGTCAAAATGAGGACCGCAAACTAACTGGCGTTGCCTCTTCTCCAGGCAAAAGGATTACTTTAGTGTCCGCATGAGTGTTTTAATACTAATGCGTAAATCAGTAATGACAGAAATGGCTGACAAGCCATTTTCACAACTGCCAGCTCATCCTGTGAATTTGTCACCTTGTCCGTTTGGGTCACTTTTGGGATATTTTTCTTTGTGGTTATTGTGCTTCCATTACTGTCACAAAACGATCAGACCACAAACTCGTTTGATTCTCTCGGTGGTGGAATAATTCAGGTGTGGATATTATGAAATCTGAATTGACTCCACTGCAATGGTAGGTATGCTCGGCATTCTTCTTTTGGAAATTCTTAGATAAAGTGACACTGTCCTTCACACATGCATTTATTTGAACAGTTTAATGTGAGTGTGAAGCAAGGTGAAGCACGCTGCAGAACGCCATCAGTTGGGAAGAGGAGTCTGCACACCAGACATCAGGTCGAAGGCGTTTTTAAACTTAACCCAAACACCTGTGGATTGTCCCCAATCATCAACGGTTTTTCAACATGAAAATCTTTACTATCCAAGGATATTTATCAGCATGCAAATATGACAAATAATTTCTCTTGGACTTTGCATTCAAACGGGCCGTTCATTGTTAAGGGATATAAGTTGCATGAACATTTTCAGGTACACTGAGATAGTTTATGTACAAAATATCAGTAAAAGATCGTTACTGTGGAAATTTATGAAAAACTGTGATTTTTGTGGAGACCTACTGTACATCTCCATTGGCAGTGTGCTTCCCCCCCTTGGCTTCTTAAACCGGGACACCGTCTGAGAATCTCATCTTTGCCGCCACCCAGTGGTTGAAGTGGGATTTTCAGCCTCATCTCGGTTACTCTTTAAAGAGGTTGTCTCCACTATCACTGTTAATTGTTCCACACGGTTCTGGTTTCTACCCTGCAGTTGGGGAGGACCCCGCCAAGTCCCTTACCGAGACACCGCCTGACTTCAACCAGTCCTCCCCGCCCTCCAGGGCCCCGCCCTCGACCTCACTGTCCAGCGACAGCAAGTTCCACTCGCTGCCCTTCAGCCTGAACAGGAAGACCGGGCCCATTGACAACATGAACCATGGGCCTCTGTCGCTTTCTGTCCAGTCGGTGATGGGAGAGCAGCCCGAGCCGCCGTCACCGGCCGCCCCTCCCTCACCGCGTCCTTCGACGCCGCCCCGAGGACAGCCGGGTCTGGAGGTGGGCTCTCTGGTGGAGGTCAAGGAGAACCCCCCTCTGTGTGGTGTCATCCGCTGGGTGGGCCTTCCTCCTGGCCTGCTGGAGCCTTTGGCCGGGCTGGAGCTGGTCAGTGATGATTTTCCTTTTAGATACGTTGCATGAACACATTTCTCCAGCTCTTTTCTCAGGAACAATTCGATCAGCTGAATAAAAGCTTTGCTCACCCATCTAGCCTTAATTTATACGTTGTTCCGTTGAAGCTTTTTCTTTTAGTAGTCAGTAGGAATGGATTTATCTGTCTAATCAATACATTGTGTCTCATGATGCGGTGACTGTTTGCTTCCATATGAATATGACGTGATAAATGAAGCCATCCAGTTTAGTCTTCTTATGAATTCACATTACATTTCCATTCATTCCAATGTTATGACGCCACTGATGACCTCTAACTTGAATACTTGAGCTTGTTTTGATCATCCACACGTGTATCGCATGTCCCAGGTGGATGAGCCGGGAAGGACATTTTTAGACTTATTTTAGAACGTGTTGATGATGTTTCAGTAATTCCTCCAAAACAAATGTTTACTCCAATACCCGTCATTAATTGATTGGACTCCGTGGTGTCGATCCTCTCCTCCAGGAAGAAGAGTGCCCCGGCTGCACTGACGGCACCTTCAAAGGTACGCGCTACTTCACCTGCCCCCCCAAAAAGGCACTGTTCGTTAAGCTCAAGTGCTGCCGGCCCGACTCCCGCTTCCCGTCCCTGCATCACTCCTCCAACCCCATCGAACGGTGCAACTCCATCGGTGAGTCGGTGGAATTGAGATGATTGAGACGATGCCTGCAGATGAACTGAAATCTCTGAGAGCTTTACACTTGGTACCGTGTGTTTGTGCAGCATTTGGAGGGTACCTAAGTGAGGTGGTACATGAGAACACGCCTCCCCGCACAGAGAACGACGGTCTGGATGTCATGGTAGGAAAAAAGAAAGGCATCCAAGGCCACTACAACTCCTGCTACCTGGATTCAACCCTCTTCTGGTCAGTAACTCTTTTAGCCGAACAGTAATGACTTAATCGGCTGCGGTTTATGCCATGTCATATCGCCGTCTCTGGACAGTCCTATTGATTGACTATCTAGTGCTTCCTCTGCCTGCGGTGCTGTCTGCCCACAGGCCGAAGCTTATTAGTAAACTGTTTTGACTTTGCCCACCGGCTCCGACAGGAGGGCGTATCCCTGCTGCGAGCAGGTCGGTGGATACTGTCTCCTGTGCTGTTTATGCCAAACTGCCGAAGGGCCATTGAACAAAGCGGTGAACCCAAACTTTTCCCCAAACTACGGGGATCCCAGGTTTTTATGGCCCATCGTCCAATTGGGAGATTCAAATTTGAGCTCTAAATGTGACAATTTTACCAGAAATTATTTAAAAACATTTCCAGGTAGTTGGTATGAGGAATCTTTTAATCAATAGGAAGTATTTATTTTATCAGCTAAACAATAAATAAAAATCTAAATAATCAAACGTCATTATAGCCGCCATATACATTTTTTTCAATGTCAGTCAAAGTTCATGTGAAATCTTATACAGGCATGATAAAAGAAACATGGATATTGATTATTGTTACATCGGTCTGTCCTTTGTCCTCTGCTCTCCAGTCTGTTCTCCTTCAGCTCGGTACTGGACACGGTTCTGCTGAGACCACGATCAAAGACAGATGTGGAGTATTACAGAGAGACCCAAGAGCTTCTACGCACAGAGATAGTCAACCCGCTGCGCATGTATGTCCGAGGGGTTTGTCGCATACGCACTCGTGATTCACATTGTAGGTTTTCACCCAGAGTTCTCAGCACTTGAGTTTACTTAATTTATTCACACCAAGCTAAAGGTGAGCGAAAGAAGAATGCTTGAGCATGATTCAGATAAGAAAATCAATAAACAATTGCGTTATTTACTTCATCGCCTGTGAATGTTAACAGATCTAATGCCACTGTTCCCATGTTAGAGCTTGTAACTTCTTTGTCCTGCAGACATGGTTATGTGTGTGCTACTAAAGTGATGAAGCTGAGGAGGATCCTGGAGAATGTAGAAGCTGCCTCTGGGTTTACGTCTGAAGAAAAAGGTAGGGAGGAATGGGACAGATACATCGATAATTGGTCTTTCAACAATTTCTCAAACCTCTTCCACTCAGACATGACTAGTGGTCACACATATTAAAAACTTTAAGGGAAAAAAAAAACTTTAATTATAATATATTATACTGCTGCAAGAAGAAACTTAATTAATTGTACACATTCATGTCATTGACTTCTCAGTTTCTACCGTGTCAGCGCTTTCTAGCAGCATTTATTACACAGGAGTGTTGCCTCACATTTCATTCATGCACGTATTGTATTGCAGATCCGGAGGAGTTCCTTAATATCCTTTTCCATCACATACTCAGGGTGGATCCGTTGCTGAAACTAAGGTACGTGTTTGTTGCTTTTTGAAAATTATACCTACCTTTGGGGTTCTTGCAGTGCATAAAGGCCAAAAAGAGGCATATGATTTACCAAAGTGATGCATGTTACTACACACACAAATGATGTCTGTGAGAGTACAGTTCACAGATTGAACAGCAGACAATGTGGGGAAAGTGGTTTCACTGGCTGTTTTCTTTGGTTGATGAGAACTATTTATATTCACGTTTTATTTTCTTTGCAAGTCAGATGAAGAGATTTCGGTCTACTGTAAAGTTTGATTCATTAGTAGTCTGGATTGGAAACTAAATGATGTCTCTCTTCACCATTTATCAGGCTCATGATACTGAAGATGTGTTTCTCATACGTCAAGCAGTTAAATGTTACTATTAAAAGTTATTTATAAAGCGTTTCGTAATGTAATACTAAACCTTGATATTTTCTTTTTCTGAGATAAATATCTCTTATAAGTACTTTGTGAAGTTCTTTTACTATCTGAAAAGATTACACTTGCCCTGTTATTTCTGTCTCCAAAATGGGGACGATAAATAAGATTTGCTTTCCAGGTCAGCAGGACAGAAGGTCCAGGACTGTTACTTCTACCAGATCTTCATGGACAAGAAGGACAAGGTGGGAGTTCCCACCATCCAGCAGCTCCTCGAGTGGTCGTTCATCAACAGCGACTTAAAGTTCGCAGAGGTGAATTTCTTATTTGTTTGAACTTATTAGCTGTAGAAAGTTAACTAAAGGGATGGTATGGAAATACTTTCCCTTACGATTTTCTTTTACATCCTTTACAAGCAAAAACGTGATTGTTACCTCTGTTTACGTTACAGACACACATGCTACCGTCAGTAATAGACTCTTCTACACACGAGTCCCGATCTCACTTCCTGTGTACACTGATCTTTGCCGATGACCACATATGTTTTCTCTTTCTCTGTTTTTCCTCAACGCCAGGCTCCCTCCTGCCTTATCATCCAGATGCCCCGCTTTGGAAAGGACTTCAAGATGTTCAACAAGATCTTCCCCTCGCTAGAGTTGGACATCACAGACCTTCTTGAAGACAGTGAGTTGTAGCTCGTCATTTTTCAGATTTTTGAAAGTTTGTTTTCTTGTTTCCAAACTGGCTTTGGGCAGTGTGTCAATGTGCTTATTATTATCATCCAGCTCCACGGGAATGTCGGATCTGCGGAGGCCTGGCTCTCTACGAGTGCCGAGACTGTTATGAGGACGGGGATATCACGGCGGGCAAGATTAAACAGTTCTGTGAAAAGTGCAATACGCAGGTAAACAACAGAGGGCGTCATTGCATCACCAATTCAACAAAAAGGAGTGTGGGCCAGTGTCGGCCGTTTGGTGGCGCCAAATCCAAGGGAATCAACCTGCCTCGGTGCAGTTTCAAGTTATGTTGCAGAAGGCTTCTTCAGTAGATCGTAACACACGGTTCGCCATTTCACTTTCCACCCCTCACAGCGCATTTACTGAAATATCGTCGCGTTTACGTCTATAAGTTGCTCACCAGGCAGTATGAAAAATGCAATGTGCTTCAACGCTTTTATTTCCTGTGATCTCGTTTAACGTTGAATGTATCGTGTTACGTTTTCACAGGCCACAGTAACAAACCGTCTCTGTGACATCGCTCTTAGGTTCACCTCCACCCGAGGAGGAAAACCCACCGGCACGGCAAGCTGTCCGTCCCCAAGGAGCTGCAAGACGGTACGGGGCGGCAGGGCAGTTTCCCCCGCCAGAGGATGGAGCTGTTCGCCGTGCTGTGCATCGAAACCAGCCACTACGTGGCCTTCGTGAAGTACGGCAGCGCAGACTCCGCCTGGCTCTTCTTTGACAGCATGGCCGATCGTGACGGTAGGCATAAAACTAAAGAGTAGCATAAAAAAACATACACCCGACCACAGAAGAATACAAATAAACAGACACAATTAGTCATAATCCTGGGAGAATATTAATATTCATAGTTGTTCCCCTGATTGCTGTTTTATTTCTGGTCCTGTAAATATTTTATTTATTTAAAAGAATTTCTCTTGATTACTGTCACTGTCTGATGTGACCAAATGACTCAAGTACTAGTGAAATGGTTTTCCAAACCCAAAGACAGTTGAGGCAATATGATGTGACCATGGCCTTGCTGTTTTAAATGATCACCTTCTGATCATGTGTCTTTGCAGGCGGGCAGAACGGCTTCAACATCCCCCAGGTGTCTCCCTGTCCGGAGGTGGAGACCTACCTGAAAATGACCCCAGAGGAGCTGCACACGCTGGATCCCAAGAGCATCCAGGGCCAGGCCCGACGCCTGCTGTGTGACGCGTACATGTGCATGTACCAGAGCTCGACCATGAGCCTGTACAAGTAGAAACCTCCACCCTGCCCCTCCACCCTTGTCCCTCAGCCACAACCCCCTCCCTCCCTCCTCGAGGGCAGGAGATTCCTAGAAAAGACCAAAAAATGAAAAAACAAACTGAAGAAGAAAGGCTGCCTGCCAGCAGGGGTGCTGTCCATAGTTAATCCTCTCCATCCCACCGCTCCTTAATGCCTGCCTGGGGGTCAGGGAGATGGAAGAGGTGGGGGGTCGGGGGGGGGGGGGGTAAACCTATTTGCACTGGGCATTGGTGTGTTCTTCATGGAGGCCTGCGTAGCTTCCCTGTGTGGATGGTGGTGGATGACGATGAAGCGAAGGTGGGCCTAACGGAGATTCACTCCCCGTTCAAGGAGGAAGTGGGAGAAGACGGACAGACGGGAGGGCTTGCTCGCACCGCCGCGGCCGCCAAAAACAAGCTGAGCTAGTGGGAGCACCTCATTTACCTTAAGAAAAGAGGAGTCCTGCTATTCTTAATCACTGTAAAAGACGGGCGCTTTCCCTAATGCTACATTAAGGAGGCAATGCAGTGTGCAAATCCTCATCCAACCTCTATGTACTGTGTAAACTCTCTTAGTAGCATAGACTTCTCCAGGTAGTCACATCAACGGCATAGACGTCATCCTCCCGTGCAGTCGCATTCGGACCAGAGCGTTCTGCTCATTCTGTGAAGCGGTTTGCATACACACCATCTGTGTACATTTCTTTACAGTACATGTTTTGCAGAAACAGATGTAGCCATTGTAACAGTCTCACGTTTTACTGCATACTTGCTCAAGCAACGCTGCACTTTTGCTCCATCCCCAAGTGGACCTATCAGGAAACATTTAGGTTTTGCTCTCTTTTTTTTTTCTTTCTTTCCCTCTGTGGAAGTCACGGTGAGTGCTAATTTGTTGGTTGGGAGACATCAGAGTTTTGTGTTACAGAATACAAATGTGCTTCTCCTCTGTAGCAGTAAAGAGAGCTCTGCATTGCTAATGCGGGGTAGATGCCAGATAAATTTATGGAAGGAGACTCGTACAATGGCTCCTGTTGTAAAGCTTGTTGGTGGAGCACTCGCTTGCATTCACAGGGTCAGCGAGGTGAAATACTGGAAAAGTCTGTCTGTTATCTTTAAAAGTCAGCGAGTATGATGTGTATAACTTGACATGCAGTGTTTTTGAAGTCTTAGACCCATCGTGTTGATAACTTGATCTAAACGATATTTTATGTTTACGAAGCCTCTTCTCTGCCCGTCATTGCAAGTATTGACTCTCGCTGCCTTCCATGAAGATGTGACATGCAATGTTTGCAGCCATGCACCAGATAACACAACAATTGTGATGAAATCGTATTTATTGTATTCTAATCAAGTTTTCAAACTCCTACATCGTTGAGAAAATGAAACCGGGTTGACGATACTGGTGCGAGGACTCCTCCTCTTTCTCAGTATACTGGAGTGAGTCATTGCAGTTTACGCCGTCTCATAGCAACTACTGAATGTTAATAGTGACACGTTGAACAGTGTAGAGTTAACAAAGGGTGGGTGATGAATGAGGCACCGGGCTGGAAACCTCGGGGCACCATATATACGTATTTAAAGAAAACCGTTTAAATGAATTATTTAAAAAAAAAAAAATCCTTGATTGCATCGTATTCCAATTTCAAAGAGTACCTAAAGCATAAAGTAGTTTGTTTTTATATATCACAAGAAAGTGAATTGAAGAGAGGAACTGCACATGTTGGCATCAGCATTATATATAAACAGTATATATATATATATATATTTTCCTAAATCACAACTTAAATATTGACTTAGTTGTGAGAATAATTGTGTGTTTTTTCTCGTTTTTTTCTTATAAATTTGGTTCCGGCTGACAACTTTGACAACTCCGTGGTCGTTTCCACTGTCCCAGGGACCCTGACGGGGGGATTTCCTGTGTGAACTTTTTTCTGCACTGCTGAAGCGTGTCACTGACTGGAGCCTTGTTCTCTATGAGAGAATCTCAGAACGGAGGGAACCAGTTTTTCTTTTTTTTTGTTCTTTGTATTTTCAGTGGCATCTGTACAGTATATACATATGTAACGGGTGGAAAATTAATGTCAGTGATGTTCCTGTAAATGTTAACAAAATAAAGCCCATTTTTAAGGGTACACGACATGTTCTCAGTGGTGTCATGCTAGATCCTGCCTGCAGCTTTGGGTCAGAGGTGGAACTGGATTTGAGGTTTTTTTGGATTTCCGTCTCCTTGTCACAGAAACTTTCGTCAGGGAAGTTGAGAAAGTGTTGTTTCTCTTCAAGTGGGTGTGCGGGATACAATCAGCAGCACACAAAGTGAAAGACTCATGGGGATTGTCGTTTGGAATAGCAAGCTAACGCTAATGCTGATTTTGAACCGTGGCCTCAATTATTACGTGTGAGCAAGTTACTTTTTCAAAGCAACTCCTGAATAATATTTGTTTTCATGAACATCTTCTTTGTGCTGTTTGTTTGACTGGCACATGCGTTGTGTCGGCTTCCAGCTGCAACGCTGCTAAATTACTGACAGCGGTCGCAGGAACAGCAGACAATGGATTGAAGGCTGTATCTGGCCTCACGAGTGCTTTCTGCTGAGTGGCAGAGCAGCATATTGAAACCGTATCTTTATATTTCTAAGAGGTCCTTTGCTCATTACTGTTATTATTAATATATATTGTGCAGTTTCTGGAGGCTTAAGATGTACATCATTTTAAGATTTGGCCCCTAGGTTTATTTTTCAATGTTTGAGGTGCGTCTTATCCCGTCCTTCAACAATCTGATTCTTTACTGATAGGATTACCACGATTAAGCTCAATTTAGCCTTCTGACACTGTGATCATCATCGCTGACTTGTAAACACACGACAACAATATGATCACAGCCTGTTATGCTGAAAGATTACATTAAGTATAGTCCGCTTGGATCACTTGCTTTTGGCTTTAGTCTTCTATCTGGCCTATATGTTCAGATTAAGTCTGCATTCGGTGACCCAATTCCCCAGACAACCTCTGACAAAACGATACCCCGAGATAAATCGCCATGTTTTATACATGCATCTCCCCCGCAGGAACCCTGTTCCACACCTTACCTCGTTTATTTTTTAGTCAAACTTGAAACCAGCTTAGCAAGCTGACTTCAGAAGTGCCAGATAAGTATTTGTCAACAGAACAGCTGGCACACAATGCCCTCTTGTAGCTTTATGCCACAGCATATGCCAGCCGCTCGTAGCGTGTGGTAATTTAGCCGGGGCTGCTTCTACGGGAACAGATGGGCTCAAGTATTGTTATTCTCGCTCCAGCTCAGGGCCCCTGGGGGGAATCACTAAATAAAATCAAAGCAGATGGACCTCTCTGGGCTAGGCTGTGTTTATGATAAACAGCCAGCACAACCAGTGTCCACCTAACACCTTAGCCCCGCCCACCAAACAATCCAACAGGAAACGGGATTACGGTAGTTTAACCCCACCTGCACTGCGGGTTTCTGCTCTCGCAAACAAATAGAAGACCCCAAGTACATCAGGTCTTAAACAATTCTGTGGAGATTTTCAATTATTATTATATATTATATAATTCGAATAATAATCATAATTTACCTTAAACTTCAAAATAGTCTCAAACCATAGATACTTCCCTGTCTGGCTCCCCTTTTTCTTTCCCGCTGTTCTTTTATAGCCTTGTTGGGATTCCATTGGCGCGGTTCTCACATGCAGGGCCTGGACATCGTCCGATAGTAACTGTGTCCTTTGTGGTTATGCAGTTCACCAGAATGCAGCACAGTTCTCATTAAACACTGAACTCCACATCCACGTTCATTCCCATGGGAAAAGATGGCAATAAACAAAGGAATCCTATCAGTGCAGAATGAAGGTAAATGTCTCGGGCCATTAAGACAACAGGAAAGCAGTGATATCCGGCACTAGAGATGAGACGAGCGGCTTTGAGCCAATCAGTCCTGATTCAATATACCACTTAGGTGTTGTTTTAACTCCCATCATGACAACCGCTTTTATTTACTGTCTTCAAAGGTCACTTTCTGATGAAGTCAAAGTAGTGTAATCAACCCAAATGTTTATGGCCAACAGTATCAACTCTGCAGTTACTCAGTCATTGTAAGACACCTTCAAATTTTAATTTTAGTTTATCTTCAGGCTTCACCCGACAGTTGTTTTTCATCGTTACCTTGATCAGTTTTATTTCCGTGGACACATGCCTCTCTAGAATTACACTCAGCCGGACATTTATCCATCTATTCAATTCATCAGTGGAGGCACACGAGAGCCTGTGGCTTGTATCTGGTCAGGACACAAAAAAACAGCTTAAAAAAAACAGTTGTCATGGTCGTCTCTTAGTTTTTCAAAGCGCAGGCATCCATATGGTTTAGCAGATCCAAAACCATGTTAAAAATATATACTATTGTTTTAAATAGTAATTCATATCAAGCAATAATTTTCTATGATATTACTTTGTGTTTTTGTGAGACATTGCCATTTATATATTAGACCCGGATGGTCCTTCTCTTTGTTTCGTCCTTGAAATGTAAAGAAAACATTTAGATTAAAAAAATATATACATAATACAAAAAACATATATCATTTAAAGAATAGAATTGAAATTCAGATTATTTCTGATGTGTTTGAACATTAGAATCAATGCCCAAAGCTTTTAAAACCCGTTCCACCAGCGAGTATCACTGTTATTAAACTACGCTGTCATCTTTACACCCTTACCAGTCACAAGTCCTTCTCCTTTATTTTTGAGACAGGACCCTGGCCGCTTGGATGAAGAATTAATTGCCTCTAAAGCAACAACTACCAGATGTTGTTGCTCCTAACAGCCAGGTGTGGATAAATTGCATATGCAGAATGTGTGTAAAATATTTAAAGTCGTATCTTTCACTTAAGGTGTGAAGTGTTTTTATTGCCCATCACTGCTTTGAGTGTGGCGAGAGGAAAGGCCTGCACCCCCCCCCCCCCCTCCCGGCCCCCCGGGCCCGCCAAGCTGGAGCTCAGCACCTGTGGTGTTAAGACTGCGGATGGCGAGGCTGACGGCGAGACTCGGCGTGACGGTGCGTCGTGACGGGGTTGGTGTGTGTGTGTGTGTGTGCGTGGTGGGGGTTCATCCACCTGTTCGTCCTCTAATTCTCTCCTGGCTGCCACCTTTAACACTGCATTATTTACAGGTGCTCTCTGGATGGAGCCACAAGCTGCTGTCGGCTTTCAATATGGATCTGTGTGTGTGTGTGTGTGTGTGTGTGTGTGTGTGTGTGTGTGTGTGTGTGTGTGTGTGTGTGTGTGTGTGTGCGGGTTGAGCTTCCATCCTGAGAAACGTGATCAAAATTGGAAGCCCGGTGGGGGATATCTGGAAGAATCACCAACACAAACTCAGTTTTTTGGAGACCGCTCTGAACTTGCTGAAACTGCTGAGTTTGCGTGGCTGTCGACAGGAAACTCCAAAAGTCTTTTTTTTTTTTTTTCCGCATCACCACTTATTTAGTGTATCAGTGTGGACAATAACAGTTGCTGTGAATCAAATTGTCCACTAGTACATTTAAGTTCTATTCCATTACTCTTAAGAACAATTAATAATTTTCTTCATAGTGGACAACTTACCATCTGTGCTCATATTAATCATAGTCGTCATCAGATTAGCTTGATGAGGTCAAGAAAGCTTACACAGATTAATACTTCTGCTCTTCTAGTGTCATTCTTGGCTGCAGAAAGCCGTTCTTTGCTTTTAAAAACGTCTTAAAACCCACTGTACGCTACTTGATCAGCACAAAAAAGTCAACCCACCACAGTTGGAACCCAATCGGTGAAGATAGAGGAGCATTTAGGTTTGTCCAAAAGCGATTGCAGATTCAAACTTTTGTCTTCAGCAGAGCACAAAGAAGTGGATCTGTGACCATCTACCAGTGAGACTGGCTCCCACTCCCCATGTCCTTAATGCTGTAAGACCCATGTCATCTGAAGGATCCCAAATTACTGCATACTGTAATTTCCTCTATAGTTTAAGAGAAATTATCCACAGAAATACCAGTTCCAGATGAAATAAGTACAGCACAAAGAGACCACAGACACTAAACAATGTTCTCTTAGCACTGTAATGGGCATACAATTACTATGTTTGCCTTAGTACAGTATGTCCTGTTATAATCTCCTACACGATCTCTCGCAAACTAAGCAACTATGCTCAGATTGAACGGATTTATTCTAAAGGACTCAAAAAGGAAGCAAATAATCACGTGAGGATCAAAAGCCAATTTAATGATTCATCTGAAAGATAGTATATTATTATTTGTCTATTTAATTTACCTCAAGAAGTATTCTTGGAAAGCATAAATTAACATTTTATAGAAAGAAATTGGGTTTTGAAAATATCCTTTTTGTTGGCATGGGGACATAATTCATTCACATTATACTGTATAATAATTCCATAACAATTGGATCCAATGGTTAAACGTTTTAATGCATATCTGGTAATTATTCAGGAAATAAGTTAATGTAAATAGATAGAAAACATTTGACCTTTTCCAACATCACCATGTCGTTACATCACTGAATAAATCTAGCAGAAGAACCACTTGGTGCAGAGTCTCTCTCAAAGGTGACTGCTGCCTGCTGGATGGGCGATGTGCACCGTGCACAGAGAGATGCATAAACACTCCTTGTACCCAAACAAAGGCATCAAGCAGGCATTTCATTAGACCATTGTGCTATATGGCAGGCCGCTGCTGCGAATGTATTTATTAGTTTGCGATACATGCCTTTTCCTGTTGTTCCCGGGGTAGCGGATAATGCCGGTTTTGTTCGGGGCCCAGTGTGAACGGCGCCTCGGTTGCCAGCTGTCAGGGCTGATATCGTCTCATTTGGATTCCCAGCCTGCTCGCTGAATGGCTAATTAGATTTGCCATTTTCAATCCGCTGATTGCCATACATAGCAGGACAAAGGGGCTGACAGCATGTAGCATTCAAATCCAACTGTAACAATTAATAACTATGGTAATTAACATGTGTTGGGCACCATTGATTATGACATTACCTGCAGAACGGATGGCCTGGTCCTTGCCATTTCATTAAGGAGAACAGATATAGACCGTTATTAATAAACTGCTCTCTGCAGCTGAGAGGGGGTTATTAATTAC